AAACCTAACCTAACCAAGCAAAGCTATACCTAACCTAAGATTCTGAGACGAAGTCTGCGACAGAGGTGAATTGTTTCAGGGAGTTTCTAGAATAGTGATTCCACTGGAGAGATTACAGATTGTGATATGGATTAATATATGAGTGAAACGAAGAAGATTAAAGTCACTTGGAAAAAAGTCCCAAGGAAAACATTCCGACATACGGACTAAACACTTAACGAAGTACTTTGTAATTCACACACTTCCTATGATTTTCTTTGGACAATTATGTAAAGTGGAATATGAGAAACTGCGGAGTATAGATTTGCTTGTAAATATTTTGAACAACAACCAATTACTCGGTGGAACTAAGAATTGTAAAAAGATTGTTTACAGGGATATTTCAATGATTAGATTTCATTGAACGCTCTGGTGCCATTTCATCTCGCAGTCCTAAAATTACAGACATGGTTTACGTCTCTTAGCATTCAACGTAATAAAATCCTACACTCCATGTCAATGCTTTAATACGCATGATCTTCAGTTACAAACTCTGTTTTAATATGTAAATTGCATATGACCGCAATGACGTAATAGTTTCGAATGAATTATTTAATTCCCTGTTATGAAACAGATATAATATTTTTGTTTTCAAGAAACATAACTGCTTATTAATAAAATAGGTTTGTTTCAACTTTTCTCTCACTCACTCTGAGGAGGTCCACCAAAATGCCTTTGAAAAACCATGAAAATTATATTTATTTTGCTGCGTCAGTGTATTGGCAAACAGGAGAGCCTTCATCTTGCGTATTTTAGAAACTATTAGGGTCATTGACTGAACCAATAATGTTTTACGTATCTGATGCATACATTATACTTAGTTTTCCAAGCAAAGACCACGCTTTGGAGACGTGGGTGTTGTTCAGAGGAGAACATTTCCGTGGCTTTTACAGAACTAGGGTGTAAGGATGTACCCTGAATTAAGATAGTTTAGAAAAATGTTCATTGTCGGAATCTTGTGATGACGATGATTTGACATTTACATAGTTCAAGGAAGCTACTGAGCAGGTTCTTACGTTCAGTGTACATAGATTTGCAGATCCCCCATCTAGGGCGTCCAAACAAATATCTAAGTTACGCGCTCGTTCAGAAATAATTCTGGATCGGAACAAGGAAGGTGGCCTAACCCGTAGAAGATGAAAGAGATGGATGTGTTGGCTCTCGGTGGTATTTACCTTTCACGAAGTACGGGAGAGTCTCCTTCCCATGTTGCAAGGCGCAGTCGTTGAAGTTGGGATCGCTGCGCGCGCAGGGTTTGATGATGGAGGCTGAAACATCATAGACAACTGTCAGGCATGTTGCCTGGTAGTACTTAGAACGCACTGGTGCATCCAGGCTTCTTCCCACTTCTGGCCGTACCAGTTTTGGTTGCAACGCGGACGTAGATCTAAATATTTACCTCCGTTTAGTTTCGAGGAATAAACCAGCCCAGGCAGAGAGAAAGACATCTTATGCCATGCTTATGAATATTTCACCTCCCCCAAAAATACACAGTGAAATATTGATCTCGTTTAACTTTTCGAGACTACGTCCAATTACGTTTGGCTTACAAAGACGGGGATTGAAAACACGAAACAGCGAATTTCATTTAAGATTTTTGTATTCTAGAGTCTGATGCCATCTGCTCATCAGTACTTATGTTTCGCAGTCACATTTATCTCCGACTCTGAATCTTAGCATAAGCCTATAATACCAGTTGAAATTAATCGATTGTTAAAAGAAAAAGTCGACCAACAATAATAACCGCGTAGCGGGCGTTTCACGTGACAGATTTTGGGATCTGTCTGGTTCGACGCTCGACTCTGCTACCGAAACATAACGCGGATGTGAGAAAAATTAAGATTCGTGGACCCAAAAGCATCACTGTGAAGATGCAATCATGGCCGGTGGAACTTCCTCTAAGAACTCACAATACGCAGGGCCATTGAGACGGCAGGGCCGTAGGTATGACGCGGCAAACACAATTGACAATTGTACCAACCCACACATTAATGCTCCAGCGAAATTGATAGTCCCAGTAGCGTGTTGAATGGGGATAATTGTGATCCCACACAAGTGGCTGTTGGTACTTTTTACGACGACCTTCAAGTGTGAAAACTGCTTTCGTCCGACAATAAGACGTGTTTCAAAGAGCCCGGATCTCGCAAACGACACTCGAAGTATTGGAGACGAAAATGAACCATGACACAGTTCTTCATCCTGTAGGACTGAATGGACAGCGCGGAGTTCGAAACCAGTCTCTGGAATTCTCTCGCGTATACGACACGGATTCTAGGTCACCACGTCCAGAACCATCTCTTCGAGTGCTGTCATCGGACGACCGCAGTCTGACTATCGACCAAGGTATCGATACCGTGAGCTGTACATCACGTCCTATCATCCATGGTACCCCAAAGCGTCGACAATGTACTTCTCGAAGTAGAAGAGAATTTTTATGGCAATGGTTGGTAACGACCACTGCGTGTTTTTTCTCGAGTTTGACCCCCATCTGGCAGCGAGTTCCTGCGTCATAAGAATTAAGACACGACGTGGAGAAACTATTTGATCTCTGTTTGAACAAGAGAACTCCTGGGCGGATTTAAAACATCTCAACAGCTTGTCGATAGACGCATCTTAATTCGTAGATTACTATCAGCGCGGTTAAAACTGTGAAAACAATTGTATATTAAAAACATAGTCTCTTCTTTTAAAAGAGTATTATTAGGTTTTTAATGCAGGTCGAAACTTGAAGTTTCCAAACTCTGTATTATTTAACTTTGTGAATTCCAGATGTCAGATGAAGTCCGCGTTTGTCGTGTCTTAATTCTTATGACGCAGGAACTCGCTGCCAGATGGGGTCAAACTCGAGAAAAGCACGCAAAATGCACGCAAGAGCCTCGTATTATAAGGACACTGACGACGTAATGCATCAAAAGTTGATCCCACCGCAGGGCATGAAACGAATTGACTGCTATGAATTCTTAATCTCTCGCCTTTCCACGCTGTTAATAGCTCAAATTGTAATTTAGAATTTGAGAGGACGTGGAAGGAGGCGTCCTATTCTCGCATTTTCGTGAAGCGAATTAAACAAAAAACAACCTGGGACCTACCGAACACAAAACAGGTTTGCTAATGACGGTAGAGCGATCTTCGTCTGTACCTTAATTACCGAACCGATCGAGTTTCGTTGCGTAAGATGAAGAAAAAGTTTGCAGCTCGTATTCTCGTTGACACTCAAAGAAATTAGACAACAAAAAGACTGCGACAACGCGAGGCGATGTTGTTGGCCTTGGTATTTAATTAAGCATCATATCGTGATTATCTCACAAGGACTGGACGTGCAGCTCTACACAATCCCTACAAGGACGGAGACTTTTTCACACTCTGGTCGCCCCTCCCCTTCCCCCCCCCCCAGAGGGTCCAGACGTGGTGACGAATAGACCAATTGCATAATTTTTATTTCCTGTTCGTAGAATATTTAAGTAATGCCCTTTAATATTTATAGACAAAAAGTTGTCAGTGGAACCACGGTTCCGGAGAATTTGACGTAAATACGTCTATACGGAAAGGAAGTTTATATATTGGCTTTATTCTAAATATTTCCTTTATACATGCTTTACAATTGAGTAAAGTTTGATTAAGACTTTGCTTATTTAACTTGAATTAGTTACGCTTAAGATGGGTCTGTGGTAGCTGAATGTAAATCTTCATACTCACCGCTGTGAGAACCTCAAGTCTTACATATGATCTGAAGCTTTAAACATAGGTTACAATCGGTCCCGCTGTAATTGTATGGCTTAAATTTCCAGAATAAGAATTGTAAATGCCTTATAAAATAAGGAAATATTTTAATTGGTCTTCTTAACCATTCACCAAATCGAAATAAGAGGCACGTATCGAAGAGCACAGTAAAATATAAGCAAATAGTACCTGTATTGTTCGTGGAAAATATACTTTTGAAACTCATATAACTTTTAATGAGTTTTTATGGTCGCTAACACATTTATGAATCACGTAATGCATGCATTTCCAAGTTACATAACGGGTCTCCACCGTCATCTATTGATGGTATTACACCACTTGTTTCAACTCCGACAGACTTTTCTAAACCAAGAAAGAGAAATGGAAGGAAATGTAATGAAATGTTTTATAGGTAACAACAATGCCGAGTAAACAATTGACGTTTCCAAGATAACATGACAATGAAGTTACACTTTTTCGTTATATTTATGCCGAATGACACTGACCCTAAAATATAGACGTATTTACGTCAAAAACAAAGCACTGTTATAGTGAGATTTGAGGTTTTCACATCGACGACCATGAAGATGCCTGTCATCTGAGTTGGTTTAAATTTACGTGACGCCCTGATGATGGTAGCAGCAAGCACCTCCGAAACATCGATAACATATCTACCAAGCTACGCGGCGCCGCGAACCGAGAGCACAAGCCTTTTTCATAATCGACGCCTTGAGAACCTCAAACCTCACTCGTGTAGACATTTTACCTCGGACAAAGTCAATTCGACATTTCAACGAATGTTACAACAGAAAGCAAAGAATGTGATGATGACGGTCAGTTCACTTACGTAGAGGCAGACCGGCGTTAGCGACAGCAGCCAGCAATAACACTACAAAGACTGGTTTCAGCATGCTGGACCCAGAGTCTGGCTGCGACTGGATATCTCCTCTCTCGGGTGCTCTTTCATATGGCTTATTAACGTGACGTCACATCTCGGCCGATTACGCGGTTAAGAGACCTTGAGCCTAAACCCCCCCTCCCCCCACGCTCAGCCAATTCTACTTAAGGCTTTCGTCTCGCAAATTAGGTATTCTGATATGAACGCAGGCTGACAGGCGAGTTGGCTAATTCATGTAATATGTCAGGGAATTATGAATAACCCTGTACCAGGGCAGGTAACTGGTGTGGCTAGATCGTCCTTGGGGCCCAACCAGCACCGTAACCATAAGCTATTAAAGGGGTATGTAATTGTACGTCCGTGGATCGATTCCCAAGTGAGCTCATACTCTAGTGGTATTCGGATAAGACTCAACAGATTAATTAACTTTTATCCTAAACTATTTCTGATGAAATCTGTAACAATTATTCACGGTCGTTTCCATATTGAGTACGAAAATATTGGACAAACGAAGTATTTTAATGTCATCTGAATTTCCCATGAGAACGAGTATGAAGATAACTGTATTCTGGGATATAGCACCGTGTAGTACGACACAACGCCACGGTGGTCTAGCGGTCAGAACACTAGCCTTGTAAGCCTGGGGTCCCGGGTTCAATTCTTGGTGGTGCTCAAATTTATAACTTGTGTTGGGCAAGGCCGTGGTCTAGGCATCACGGAGTTTTCCTCCGGGGGCTTCCCCGGTTTCTCCGTGGCATCCCAACAATTACTCCATTCACACACAGAAGAAGGCAATGGCAAACCACTTCTGGATCATCTGCCAAGAACGTATATGAACAGGTCCCAATCCGTGAAAAGGATGGAAGGATCCTGTTCATAGGGACCTGTCGTCAGACAGAACACTAAAAAAAAAAAATCTCGTAGTTATTCAACAAAATTCCCGCCTGTTATGCAACTATAATATCCATTATCGTATTCACTAGTGTCACCATCGGAGCATACAATAAGCCAGTTGGACGTAGCACATAGACCTTACTGCTCGTTTGAGGTCCGTTTTAATATAATAGACACTGATGATGGCATCAGTAAGATCGTGTGAAACATCGGTCAGTGTCTACCTCACTACATGGTCCTACATGACAGATGACGGCCGTCTACACAGAGCCTACAACCAGAAGCAACAGAAATCGAAGTGAAAATGGTTTTCTGAGCTCTGTGCCACAAGAGATAAGAAATTACATCAGCGCGTAGGTCTCGGTAAGCTGGAGGCACCAATTGTTATGTCACAGGCGACTAACGGAATGTGTGCCCCTTACATAACCTCGAATTTCTTGAAATGGCGGCTATTAGCAGGTGTTCGTCTCTGAAGGGCGAGATAGTCAATGCTTTTTTATTATACACACTTTAAAACCGGTCTTTTTTTTAAACATTTTAATGTTGCGCTGGACGAACTGCGTATTACGCCCAGATCAAGAGTCTGAAAGTTATAACAAAATCTAAAGTTCGAATATTCAGTAGATTTTTGGTAGGAAAAAAATTAGTTACGTGACGAATAATAATTTTCGACTATATAAAATGGAGACAAGGTAAATTTTTAACTACGATTTTAATATTTTTTTTTCCTCTGATATTATGGATTTCTGTATTTATTTCTCTACTGTACTAGAAGACTCCAGTCACATGAGACGTCACAGTTTTATTTATTTTTTTTATCGGTTGGATTTTCTAACAATTTTGTTGAAACAGCTGAGGATACTACTTTCTCCTCATTTCTCACGAATAAATGTTTCTTGAAAAAAGATTCACAGAGTAAAATGATTCAAAACAACCGTCTCATGCAGACTGCAGACGATCCAGCACGCCCTAACGAGGAACACTTTCTTGGGGAACGTTAAAAATGTTCCGAACACAAACACCAATTGTGCTAATGAGCGAGGAGCTGGTTTGAATGATCTCACTCAAAGAAGAAGGACAGAAAATCTCCATCAGCGCACGTGGAGTTAAAATCAAAAAAATTGTTTGAATCGGCCGTGAAAAGCGCTGTTACCATTTGAAATATTTCTCCAACAGGTTACGTAATAAAATGAATCTACTTATGTAATAACGCTGGAATAATTGTTATTAATTTTTTTTAAAAAACTCGTTCTCTTCTATACAACTGATGCCTTCAGATGCCCTGTCTCCAAAGCAGCTTTATAATACTCGTTCGTAGTTTATAATCATCTGTTAATAAGATATCACGGTGGTCTAGCGGTTAGAACGCTGGCCTTGTAATCCTGGGGTCTCGGGTTCGAATTTATAACTTGTGTTGGGCAAGGCCGTGGTCTAGGCAACACGGAGTTTTCCTCCGTGGCATCCCAACAATTACTCCATTCACACACAGAAGAAGGCAATGGCAAACCACTTCTGGATCATCTGCCAAGAACGTATATGAACAGGTCCCAGTCCGAGAAAAGGATGGAAGGATCCTGTTCATATGGACCTGTCGGCAGACAGAACACTACAAATAAAAAATAAATAAGATATCGTGATCTCACAGACAGAAAATGTAGCCGCAAGATATTGTTTATAATGTCTGCATTCGAATGTATTACACGGCTTGAATTCAGCCACAGAACATTCAAACACACTAATTCTACCAAAAACACAGATTTTACGATCACGAACTACAAATAACTGGAAAGTCTTAAAAATAAAAATTACAGTTAAATCTTTATCCGGTTTTGATTAAGTTCAAGATGACTGTATTGTGGGATGTTGCGCCGATGTGGGCTGATAGAAGTTTATCGATGTTTCACACGTTTTCCTTGCGTCCATCATCAGGACGATGAGTCTCATCAACATGGAGAGGTGACAGACAGTTGTCATTTATTACAAGTTGGTGAGATATTTTGTTCGAGAGGCAAATGAATGGTGAATAAGGTGGAACGTGATCCCATCGCAGGTCAGCTGACACTTACAGCTGACGGATTTCGTCAGAAGCGGAAATTTCTCAACTCCCGCGGTTCTACGTATAGAAAGAACATTACAGTTATGAAGCCCACTGATTCTGATTTTCACTATCTTTAACTTTTATCATACTTTTATGTTGTTGACAAAGCTACAGACTCATGTGAGAACTGACTTCTTCAGGACAGTGAGGTTCTACTGGGTTTTGGCGCCGTTTCAAATCTCCCGCAGAGACCAGCGTTTGACAGAAGCATTCTGACTCCAGCTTTAGCCCTGAAGATGGAAGCACTTCACAGAAGAACGTCATTACTGTAATCGGGCGGCAGCATTACATAGCCACTTGTTCAGGAAGAATAAAGTTTAGTTAAGTCGACCGCGTGAGGACAGCGAGGATGTCGGAAGATTCGCAGACAATTCTCACGCGTTCTTAGCGAGCTTTGTTCCTTACGATTTCCGGAGGAGTTGGGGGGCTGATGACTGCGTGGGACTCTCGTCTGAGGGCAGCAAATTGCTTCGATATTTCGAACAGTGGAGAACGTCCTGACATGAAGAGTCTGGTTAACCGTGATTTGCGGTCACCCCACACGACGCCACGTCAGCCTCCACGCTTTTCCCAAGTCACTCCGGCCAATTAATTACTCTCTAAGAGAACGGCACATGGGATTAAGAGGTCCACTCTCTCACTCACTACCGGTGACCCCAGTCCACAGGCGAGAAGAGCGAATGGGACACGTGGACGGTCACATTACACATTCTTGTTGCACATGTAAGCTTAAGTCAGCTTCGACGAAGTGGATTTTGAAATGAGTCACTTGGATTAGCACATCCATTGCCCTCGCCTGGTTCAGACGCAGTTCTACGTCTTTTCATTCTGGGCGATGAAGCGTAGAATTTAATAACTGATATAATTAGGTCATAAAGGAACAGTCCGGATCTGACCTGAAGAAGGCAGTTTTTTTTACTGCCATCACAGCTGAGCTACAGGAAGCGCTGACTACGCATTAAGCATTTTGAACTCGTATTTCGTGATCTCGTTTCGCCTGCATCCCAGTTAATCCAGAAATTACCGACGACTTTTTCGTGACAACACGAACACAATTGGGTCTCCCAACTGGAAATTCGGTGCCAACATCAAGAACTGGAGGGAGTACTGGGAAGGAGGTAGTTCGCTCCAGAGGCAGTTCTGCAAATACTTCCGGAGGACAAAGGATCTTTCAGAAATATGACGTCTTTATGCTACAAGGATCGCTAAATCACGACGAATCCGACTGAAAACTCTGAAAGCATTAGAATTACGTATAAATCTTATCGGAAGCATAATCACGACGGACGCCCTATGCACCCAGGAAGTAAAAGCAAGGATAGCCATGGCCTTCGTCAAGAAGAGGATACTTCTCACTAGCAAGTTGGGCTTGGAGATGATGAAGAAACTAGTGAAGTGTTACGTATGGAGCAGAGACTTGGACACTCAGGAATAAGGAACAGAAATACCTGGAGAGTTTTGAAATGTGGTGTTGGTGAAGGATAGAGAAGATCAGGTGGACGGATCGAGTGACCAACGAAGAAGTATTGAGGAGAGTCGACGAGCAAAGAAACATTCTGCAGGCGATTACACGAAGGAAAGCTAACTGGCTGGGACATATTATGAGAAGGAATGGGTTACTGAGTGATATCATCGAAGGCCAGGTTGAAGGAAAGCGAGGACTGGGAAGAAGATTGATACAGCTAACCGACGACCTTAAACAAGGAAAGAAGATGACGTTCCAGGAATTAAAGCGAGAAGCCGAGAATAGGGACAACTGGAGAGCTCTTTTTGGGCAGAGCAATGGACCTGTCGTAAGACAGAACACTTAATAATAAATCTTATTAGAATCTGAGATACGTAGATTCATATTAAATGTTCTTAGCAGTGTATATGTTACCGGCAATGTATAGAACGCCTAAAGTCATTAGGCAAAGTATGAAATTAATCGTAATGTTAATATCGTTTGGTTGTGTAAATTGAAATTAATTAAAGTCGATTGAATAAGCTGTCAAGATGGAGGTTGTGCGAGATAGTCGCGAAAACACCAAAGCTACTGAATCTGAACGTAAGAAAAATTTTGAGAATTAAAAGAATTGTTTTATATTAAGTTATTGCAAATATAAAAGATAAAA